GGGCTCTACACATGGACAGGACAGAAACTTTCATTCAAAAGAAATATCTGGTCATGAGCCCCAGCTGGGGCTCGACACCAAGACAGACAGACTGACTGACCGTCAGTTGTAACATGACCTTGACCTTGACCTTGGCGAAATATTCATGCTTGCATTTAGAAAGAAGGGGAAGATTAGATCATTTTCTGTAGCCTGTAAGATTCTTACATTCATTTGAACCTCCCCTGTAACCCATTTGTGTTAAGAACATTATATTACAATTTAGGCCGCCGTTCTTTTGATCACCCAGTTTGTCGCACTAGACAATTGCTGCCAATCTGTTATGAACTCGTGAACCCTCACATTAAAGGGACTTACTTTCATCCCTACCGTGTGTACATGAGGTTCTTACTTTAAATAGATTTATTCATAAAACAAACATAACTTGAATGGCAACAGGGGATTCTCACTGTGAATGTAGGCCACCGAATAGACATTTCCTCTGTGCTCATGAAGGTCATAAGAAATTCTATGTTCTTTCATGTAACAAGGAAATGTCGGCATGTCCATTTCATATGTAAGTGGACAGATCAACCTGTTTACGTGCTTTGTATCGATATCTAGAGGGAGTGGATTCTTCCATTTATCAGTTCTACTATAATTTTTGCCAAAGAACTGTCAATGATATTTTAACCTTCAAAACCATTTCATGACCAATTAATATGTAGAGAATGACAACGTTTTATACGATTTGTCAACAGTTCTGATCTAAAGAACCTAGACACAAATACAGATTTCTCTTACGTCAAATGAAGCACGTAACATTCTGAATGTTTCAACGATTTTCTGATGGTTCGTTGTGTCGCCATATTTGTAATTATTAACGTAAAATTACCGTTGGTAAGAAATCTACAGATCTGCTTGTAATTTCTGCGTATCGATTTCATACATCAGTTAAATTAAGATTTCGCGCAGTCGCCATGTTATAATTTTACATTGCGTAACACCACTGCCTTGGTTGAAATTGCTTATTTATTGATATCTGTTAACACAACAGATTTGAGGGGTATATATTAACGATACTAATATCAGTCCTGCCTGACAATTTCGCACGGGTGCCATGTTTCATTTCTTAATGACAGGAAATGAAAATAAAACAAATGTTGGTAGCCCATTGTGGCATGACAGCTGTAATATGTTTAATGAAAACCCATCAATTGACTTAAAGTCATTAGGTATGAACTGAAACCAAGACACAGACAGGATGATGCTAAAGCACATGTCACATTTTAAAATGAAAAAATTATGTTGAGTAAGGAGTGATAAATAATGTTGTAGCTACGTACTGCCGCCTGAAACTGTATACGCCATGATATGTTTGTTTCAGATGCGTTTATAGCATTTAACGACAGTTTGAGAAATGTAGCAATAGCAGTAACATATTGTGAAGATTTTATTATGACTATGACGGGGGTTGGATTTATAATTTCACTTTTTGAACCCTTATATCTCAGTGACTACAAGTAATTATAACAGTTCCTCTATTTCACACACTTTACACTTCAATAGAGCATACACCTAAGTCTTCTCAGCCTGCTGTGTATTCACCAGACTCCTGGTAACGGCTTTCAACATCAGACGTTCCGCTTCCTCTGGTTTCCCGAATTGTTCCCGTCCTCAGCTGCAGCAGTTCTAGACCGACTGACTAACTAACTGACTGACTGACTGACTGACTTTCTAACTGACTGACTGACTGATTAAGTCAGAGACACAGTTCCTTTACGACAGCGGTTTACTGCCAATCATTTCCCAATCCGTTGGCCTTGACGACAGCCCCTTGAGACCCACGACCATAGATTACTTTCTTGCAAACAAACCCTTGCGGTCATCGTTTTTATGTAACATCTTCTGTGACTAGAAGGCGGGTCCATCTCAGTCTTGAGTCTTGTGTTACGACCGACGGTCATTCGGCCAGTCTGTCTCGGAATAAAGCATCCATCTGGGGCTTACGACGAGATTTTTATTACTGTGAGACAGTTGCGGATTTTTTGATGTGGGGCGCTTTGTCTGACTAGTGGACGAGTCTCGTTTTAGTTGCTGCTGATCCTCTCCAGCGCAGTCACTCTCGGGACCGAGGCCCTTGGGACTTGTAACAACATTGCACTTTCTCGGATTCGAGACTTTCTTTTTGTCGCCTCCTACGACTCGCAAAAATAGGGTGGAGGTATTCGATCCCGCCTTCACCAGGGTTTTTCCTTGGGTTTATCTCTAGACTTGTCTCGGCGCTGACCGCGTCTTTGGGCGGAGACGGTTACTTAGTAGCGGTGGTTGTATGCTTGCTTATTTCGCTGTCGTTGCCTATCAATGGGTCTACATGTCACAATATTGTATTGTCCTTGAGATCACCGTCGTCTGTGATGCGATACCGTCTAACCTGACAGATCGTTACCACCGTTACATTCCAGATGGCAGTGATTCGCATAGTTGCCACAGTGAGAACCTTGAACCTCTCATCATTCAGCCCTGTCTTCTGAAATGATCCTGTCTGCACTCTTGTTTCTTTGCTATGTCTGTATAGCCTAACGTGACTGATACTAGTACAAGGTGTCTTATTAGAAATGCTAGTGCAGATGGGAGAACAGACATATAATAAAATTTGTAATGTAAAGCTACTTGTAACAGGCCATGGAGGCCCATAGGATTATGAGACGTTGAGGGTTCCCATAGAATCTAGAAATTCGCTCACAGATAGCGGTTTTGTGTTTTGGTAATTACCCCGTTCGAATCCCGGAAGGGGTACCGACTATCCTATCTCTTCAGTTTTGAGGTCTATATTAAGTTAATGAGCCGATTGCTTCAAGCTTAACGTGTGTATTGGAAGGTGAGAGGTTCAGTTCTCAGGTAGAATATCCAGTGTTCTCACTGGGGTATTTGTGGTTTATTTCAAGTTCTCCGTGCAATTACCGGAGTGCTACATCAACAAGGACACCAATGTTACTTCCATATATTTAAAATTAATTTCTCACTAACGTTGACCTACCATTCGACGACATACATGTGTCTAAACAGCTTTAATGATCTCTCATCATCAGATGATGATGTAAGCTTTATGTTATGGTCACAAAATTTCTAGATTCTATATTCATCATATTATTTGAGAAATGATCTTCATACCAAAGATTACGCTCATAAGACACGACGATTGACTATGGAAACTGTGACGTACTCTAAAAAATGTTTCGGACGGATTAAAGATCTTTGATGCAGGCAGAATTGTTAAATAAACCATAACCAAGAGGGAAACAGGTCATTAAATTCTGAAACGTCGTTGTAAACATTTGTACGCGACGAGTAACTCATGTCCTACGTGATATGTTTAATAGAGCTAAAATTTCAGCAATGGGTTTGTGCCTGCAAGAAGTGAAAATTTTGTCCAAATGTGGTGTGTAGACTATCAAAGAAGAAAGAAAATTAGATATTCGCTTTCCCACCAGTGAAATGTAGCCTCAAGACACAGTGTGAGCCGTGGGACAGATAAATATTATTATGGATCCTGTGGGAAAAGAAATCAAGGTTTACTGTTAGGATGAAAGCCAGCAGAAACTTTCCTCATTTCACCCTACCAAACCTGACCCTCAAGTGGTGCTCTGTGGGGGTTTATCTTGCTGATAAGTGACGTCATAGGGAAACGAACTCGGAGACATTGATGTATGGATGTATCAAACCAATCCGCAAAATAGATGGGATTTTTGGTAATCAATTTCGGAACTACTGAATCCTTATTAAGAAACTGAGGCACTTCCCCTATTTAACTTTATCATTATGTAAATGTTTATATTTTTCCATTAATCTTATGAGAATGTAAGTTGCATGAATACTGTTGCTTGTATTGGTGTTACAGCATCTCATATAAATAATATATCTTACACAGTAATTGCAAAGAAAAAGAATTTATTTGGTATATTTTAAATCGTATGTTACAGCTTATTGTTAAAAATATATTTAATGTTATTGACTTAAATTTTTTAAACAACACACTTAAATTTTTTAAACAACACACTTAAATTCGCAATGGGGACCAAATTGGGAAGGAACTATAAAGAAACACAAAATATTACATTCCAACATTTAGTGATATATATGCTACGTGTTTCTCTCTTTTATTTTGAAAATACAATAGAATTTATTTTTTCTGTCCAAATTATATGTGAACAATTTTATTGCATTTCCCTAGAGGTCTGTTATTTTATTAAACAGGGAAGAAAAATGAGAGGTTGTTAGACGATTTAAATATTAAGAATGTCCCTGTTTAAGAACTTCTATACATTTTAATGATATGTCACACAAGGAACACTTGGTGAACACGAAACACATTCGCTTCCAAAATTAATTTAGAATAAACGCTGATGAGCTTTGTGTATAAAAGTTAATACATTGCGGTCATTTTCCATTGTTATTTGGCCTGATTGGTTTTCCTTAAATTCTGATTAAGCCAGTGGATTGCGGAGGCCAGTTCAACATCTGGGCAAGGAAGCCTTGGTGCAATATTTCGAGTAAGTGATCCAAGCCTTAAATCCTTGAGACTTCCTGATTTTCAATGCGCATTTGATATCATTGGCCAGGTTGCTCTTTCTGAGATCTGGAAGAAAAATGATGGATGTCAGTTGTCGTTTGAAGAAATATGATTTTTAAATTAACTATTGAAGGTATTCGATTGATTTCGGCATTTAACTTTTAATAAAGTATAATTGCCGCATTTATTTTTGGCAAGAAAACGTAGGCCGGAGATTAAAATGTCTCCCGACAAATAGAACACGTCTTGATAATCTTGACACGCCCCTATCAATAATCTCTTTACTTCATCATTCAGATGATTTAATCTCAGCTGTTCCAAGATTCTCTTTTCCTTATCCTTTCGCTTTTCTTCAGTTGGTCCTGTGGGATTCTGTACTGGTTCGACTTCGTTTAGTTCTACTAACGGCTCCTCAATTTCTGCCTCCTCGTCGTTCATATTTAAAATACTAGTTATCACATAACCGTCTATCACTTTGGTTAATGACCTTGCCATAAAAATTCCTTCTCGAATTTCTCATTTGTCTAGGATCCCCACTAATGGCGACCCTTGCTTCACCCGTAGCTTGACAACACATTCCGATCTCCGTGGTAGGATCATGTTCCTGGTCTCTCGCGTCTTTTTCTGTCTTCGCGATTTCTGTTTGGTTAGCATTCACCATCTTGATCATCTCCCCATTTAGCTTAACACATTGAGTGTCATAGCATATTTGTGCTTTTGCATTGAGGAAGAAATCCCTTCCTACTATCCCGTCACAAGGAATATCTATCTGCTTGTTTGCTAACTGAAACTCGTGCGTAATCGAACTATTCTCGAGGTTAATCTCAGCCTCTATCACTCCATGTGTTTCTATCAGGGATCCGCTTACGCTTTTCACCCTTACTTTTCTTTCTGGATCATATTCTGTCAAACCTATCAAATTCTCTCCCTTGAGGACACTAATATCGGCTCCAGAGTCTATGAGCAACAACAACTCACCTGTCTTTCTAATGTTCACTCTCAGCTTGAGGAATTCACAATCATTCCTCCATAAGCAGCCTACCGAGTAGACTGGACCGACGGTTGGCTGCCATTTCCCCGATGGTCTTGATTCGCTTCCCGAACTGTTACTCCCAGATTTGCCTTTATTAATTTCCGGTCTATCTGCCTTTTCCCTAGGCTTTGTACATTCCCGAGATATGTGCCTCTTTTCCAAACAGTTGTAACATACAATATCCCGACTGGGCCCTCGACTTTCGTGCCTTGCAGAAAAATGGATTGACCCTTGCGTCCTTCCTGCCCTTAAGAAAGCACCTGCTCGTCACATGATTGTTCCTGCCACAATTACTGCATTTCAAACTATCCGAAACCATGTTTGAACATTTGCACTTCTCAGTCTTTGAAATTATAACACTTTCTTCTTCCAAGGTTGTCTCGGCTATTTCATCGAATTTGTCGTGATTTCGACTCCTTACAATTGTTTGTATTCTGCCTGAATACAGACCCTGCACAAAGCAAATATTTCCTAACCTGTCTGAGAGAGTTAAGATTCCGGCTCTCTCCTCTTGCTCGCAGTCTTGCAAAGCAGCTTCTCTAAATTTGGATCCCAGTTTCTGAATGCACTGGATCCAGTCAGACACACTCTCCCCCTTAGTTTGCTTGGTACTGAACAATTGATTAGCATGGTAATCTAGCGTTCTATTCTCGGTGTACGTGTTCTTTAGGAATTCTCGTAATTCTCCCCAATTTTCCAAATTTCTATGAGAAATTGCGGTTCTTGTCTCTTCGTTAATTCTCGTTAAAAGAAACTTATACAACGTGGTTGAGTTCCTAGGGTCAATAACTTCAAATGCTGTGTCTACATTCGCTATAAAAGCGAAAACTTCCCTTCTTTCGCCCTTGAAAGGAGTTATAAGCTTTAAAGCTTCACTGATTACTACATATTCTGTCATAATGGCAGTACTACTGTCCGCGTTTACAACCTCAGTATCTAAATTTGGATACAGGTTAGGCATGGATTGGAACTTTCTGAAGTTCTCTGTACGCCTGCCGCGTAGATCGCTTGCAGCACGTTGGAACCTGCCGTGTAGACCAACCGCAGCGCTATGGACTAGCGCACACTACGGTACGCCCGTTGCCACTTCTCCGGTCTGGATCGACTCTCGATCCCGAACTGCCGCTACTGCATCAGTGTGACGTAGAATCCTGGCTGGAAATTTCACACTTCTNTTACAACCTCAGTATCTAAATTTGGATACAGGTTAGGCATGGATTGGAACTTTCTGAAGTTCTCTGTACGCCTGCCGCGTAGATCGCTTGCAGCACGTTGGAACCTGCCGTGTAGACCAACCGCAGCGCTATGGACTAGCGCACACTACGGTACGCCCGTTGCCACTTCTCCGGTCTGGATCGACTCTCGATCCCGAACTGCCGCTACTGCATCAGTGTGACGTAGAATCCTGGCTGGAAATTTCACACTTCCCGCTGGCGGTTTCCCTATCGGGATTCCTTCAGCTTTTCGCACTCTTATCTTAGCACAGTTACAATTCCGTTTTCCAATACTTCACACACACACGTGACGCCGATGAGTAGTTATTGTTGCCAGTCTGCTGTTCACGCACGTACGCACGCACCACAACCACCACCACCACCACAACAACAACAACAACAACAACAACAACAACCCCACATCTGACACCAGTGTTGTATCCCTGTAATTCAGGGATACTCAGGTTCGCCGAGCGGTGAGCGATTCGATGTACGGGGTTGGGATTCGGTGGAAAGACAACAGCAAGCAATTGGATTTAACGGTGCTATATTGTTAGAATAAGAGATGCTTGATGAAGTACATAGAATTAGGTGGGCACTTTAAATATCCCCTACAAGGGGCGAGGCCGCAGTCCTGCTCGTCTAGCCCTTGTGACAACTGTGTCTCGCCTTCACCTCCAAGCTGCAGTCTGCCCTAGTACCCCAGTCAATCTGGGTTCTGTCCTTCACACGTGTGTGGAAGGGGAGGAGACCACACACACATTTGTTTAGTCTATGCATTGGTTGCGAGCCGGTCCACAGCTTGGAAAGAATATTTAAGATGGCCAAAAATACAAAATCTAGTACACAATTATACAAGTACACTTCCACGTATGCAACAAATCATTTCTATGATGTGCAAATATGGCTGCCATGTTTTGGACCCAGTCTAGTGCATTTATCTGTCCCTTCCTGTAAGGACCCCAGGACGCCGCCCCATGTTCAAGAATCGGACACACTAGTGATGTGTAGGCTAAACTTTTAGTGTTACTGTTTCACATTTAAGAATTCGCATTGTAAAATGAAGTGTCTTCCAAGCTTTATTCACCATGTGATGTGATTAGTATGCAGTCTGATTGATTTTCCTGAAATGTGGTGTACATATTGTGACGTGTCGCGCTAGCTGGACCCCCCCCCCGGAGCTGACGCCTTTTCTTCTTCGGTTCTCCGACCGGCATTACTTCGGCGTCTTGTTCGGGTACCTCTCGTAGTTTTGCGCATCAGGTGTCATATCCACTGAGGCTGGCTTTTCATCGTCTGGACGTGCCTCCATTTCTTGGCAGGCCATCTTCACTCCGACCGGTATTGCAATGGGGGCCTCTTCTTGTTGTGCCGCCCTTGCTTGGGTTGCTCTCGTCTCCGCGGAAGTCTTTTTTCGCCAGGCGGCCATTTCTTCTCGCCAGGCTTTCGAGTCGGCGTCCATTCTGGCTAGGAGTTCCTTGTGGCTGATCTCCGCCTTTTCTTGACAGGAGTCTAATTTGGCCAGGAAATCTTCTTTGTCTTTCCTCCTACTTTCCTCCATCTCTTCCTTCTCTTTCCTCCTCTCTTCTTTCTCTTTCCTCCTACTTTCCTCCATCTCTTCCTTCTCTTTCCTCCTCTCTTCCTCCCTATCGGCTTTCAGTCTGGCCACCATTTGCTCCTGGGCGAACAGCAGACGTTCCATCATCTTTTCCATGTCCATGTTGTAACAGTATAATACTCGATGCACAATAATTCAATTATCTGTCGAGGCGTGTTCAAGTTCGTAAAACAGTTCTGACAGAAAATTGTCACGTGTCTTGAGTTCGAATCTTGTCGGTCACGTGTGTAAGTTCAAATCCCACTTCTGACACCAGTTGTCACGTGTTGTGTAGGTCACGCGACAAATAACTTCACGCCGTATTTAATATAGCGAATTTTATTTCACATTCGCTCTTACAATCACACAATTAACAATCTGACAATTACTGCCATCGGCAATATCACGAATACAATCACGTTACAATATTATACCACCAGAGACCACTTCAGTGCTGTACGTTTAATGGATGATAGCAAATTGGTAGACACCCCTGGTCACCTTAACCACAAGCATACCGGCATGCAGAACTGTAACTGCTCACAGAGGCTTCTTGTGCAATATTGTGAAGGACTATCATTTCATAGCTTCTCTTGCTTTTTGTGACTCCTGCAACCCAGTTGCATTTCTCTCCCAATGCAGTGATGTTACAGGCCACTGGTGCAGGGTATGAAAAGTTGATGGGTTGCCTGACAGGGCTGCTGCAGGGGAAGTGGATGCGGATGGGATAGCGTTGTGCATAAGCCCAGATGGTAAACATGAACTAAACCTTTATGAGTGGAAGAGGGATTAGGACTAGAGAACCCCAGCTGAGCATGTAACTAAAAGCATAGTAATTCCCTTCCGTGGGTCCCGTGTCGTAGATTTACGGCACGTAAAAGAACCTCATGTCTCTAGGAGACCTCTGAGCTAAATTAGGCAAAATTTCCGGCCCAACTAGTTTCCAATGACTCCCGTAGATGGGGAAAGTATTAGGTACCACTGCCAGAACAGGACCGACCTCGCTGACAGAAAGGGACTAATTATCAGATACCACTGCCAGTAGAGGGCCGACCTCGCTGGCAGAAAGGGACTGATAACGGGCACCAGTACCGGTAGGGTATGGAGACAGTAGAAATTAAAGGGGGATGCACAATGGACCAATAACTGGTCTAAGTGCATGAGGAAACCCACCTCCTCCAACAATAAATGAATGAATGAATTCTCTTCCAGGTTCAAATCTTTGTTAATTACTGTGGAAATTTCTCTTACACTCAGAATGAATAATGTGGTGAAACATTATTTTTAATCTTCTTCACTATAGGCCATTTACCCACTGTGATATACCATTGTCATTCACTCTTTGACATCTCTCAAGACTGCAGACTTCTGGGACACAACTCTGTGTCTGGTGCCATATCAGAGAAAACTGCAGTCCTAATATTCAGTGCTGCACTTTCTAATTTTGTACTGTTATATCAGCAAATGAGCATTTGCATTATGATACTGAGGCAAAGTGTAAAGTGGCAACACTGAAGGAGAACAAGGACTGAGACTGGTGAAGACAGTGGCAACAGGACATGGCCACATAGGAAGGGGGGGGGGGATTACAATATTTTTCTACTGTGAAGTAGCAGAGATAAGAGATGGGAGGTGCCACTCATAAGAATTGTAAAATTATTTCAAATGAGATTCTTTTCCAATAGTAGTGTTTACTGGAGAAGTTTTTTTTTCTTTGCCAGAAGAGAAGAAAAAAATTTATTACAGAGAATCAAGAGCAGTTTGTCAGTAAAACTGATGAAATACCCACAAGCATTTAGGAAATGTTAAACATTTATGGAAATGAAGAAATGTGCAGAGCATACGATATGAGACAACAAATGATGTGGCCAAACAGGAAGTGATTCAAATGCAGAAAAGTGACTCAGATTATGAGAAATGGTTGTCCAAAAGTTAAAAGTAAAACAGACTACATGTATAAAGAGAACTACTGTTAGAAATTAACACAGCTGCATAGAAGGAAGAGAAAATATTTATTGCTATGATGCTCGCCTAAAGAATGACAAGAACAATTGCTAATAACAAACAGTTCATGCTCCGTAACTTGCAACAGCAATGATAAAATCTCCTGGGG